CTGTGGGTTAATGAGCCAGACTGCAAAGCCGTCTGAACTGCAAGGTCGGCGGTTCGAACTCACCAGCTGCTCCTCGGAAACTCTATACAGGGTCGCTATGGGTCAGAATTGACTTGACAGCACTTAACAAAAACAACAATGGGTGATATGAAGGAGCTCTGTTAACGTACTGGTTATGAGCCAGGCTGCTAACCTCAAGGTCAGCGGTTCTAAACTACCAGCTGTTTTGTGGGAGAAATATAAGGCCTTCTGCTCCTGTAAAGATTTACAACCTTGGAAACCCTATACACTGTCACCGTGAGTTGGAACCAACTCCACGGCATACCCCCATAGGTGATATGTGGTAAAATATTGTTATTCTCCTAAAAATTACGTACATGGAAACTGATACATGAATCCCTTTAAGCAAATTCATGGTTCTTCAGGGTCAAAATGTTGGCTGCAAGGTCTTCAAGTTGGCAAATAGTAATTTAACTCCAAAAATGGAACACAGATACAATAATGTAAATTGTGTTCATTGGATTTTTAACTTTTAGAATAAACTTTGAGGACTGTGTGATAATGTTCACTTCAGAGCTAAGTAGCACACTAGTCCCAGATCATGATCTCAGTGTTATTTTTGGATCAGCACTGGCGCTGTGGGATCAACACTGGACTGTGAACCACAAGGTCAGCAGTTCAAACTCACCAGCTTCTCCTCAGAAACCCTATACAGGGTTGATATGAGTCGGAACGGATTTGATGGCACACAACAACAGAAGTTAAGGTTAGAGTCTTGGTAGTGTAATGGCTTACAAGTTGGGCTGCAAACCACAAGGTCACAGTTTCAATTTACCAGCTGCTCCACCAGAGATAGAAGAGGTTTTTCTGCTCCCATAAACATTTGCAATCTTGGAAACCCTACATAGACAGGGTTGCTATGAGTCAGAACCAACTCCAAAGCATATGACTACCATCACCACCATTTAAGTTAAAAAAAATTTTTTTTCTTACATTACTTCTCCACTCAAGTTATGTCATGTTGTGTGTTGCTTCATTTTCTGATACAATTTTTGTGCCTTTTTTTTTTTTAGCTTTCAATTACCTTTTATTTTTGGTAATTGAAACTAAAAAATTTAAAAATGTGTTATTTAGAATATGACTCCTAATTCCTTGCTTTTAATCTACTCTGCCTACTGCCTGGAATCCATTTCATTCTACTTCTTGAGAAATGTTTTGAAGTTCACATCTTATTATAATAGATCATAAAAACTGATTTCTTTCTAGATCTGATAGATAGCTGTCATCCACATTGGATTTCTGGGTTACTGTCATGATCTTTCATCTCACATCTTCTCTTGATTTTAACCCTCATTGGGCTTCAAGATATTTCTGAAAATTGAATCCATAGGAGGTAAATATTCTAAGTCCTTTCTTGTTTGAAAATATTATTTTATCCTTAAACTTTGATTGACAGTTTTCCTAGACATTGAATTTTACATTCAAAATATTTTTCTCTCAGATTGTTTAAGGCACTGACATTGTTTCCTAATGTGCCAATGAGTTCTGTGATAGAAACCTGATTCTATCTAGTCTTTTGAAGGTAGAATTGTCAGATAAAATACAGTATGCCCAAATAAATTTGAATTTATGATAAGCAGTGGATAATTTATTAGTACACATATATCCCCAAATATACTTATTGTAGACATACTAGTAAATTATTCATTATCTATTTTAATGTGTTAACCCCATTTAAATGTCAAACCCTTTTTTCCTCCTTTGAAAGACTTTTAAATCTTCTCATTACTCTTTGTTTTAAATTTCCTCAGGAGATGTGTAAATATTACTGTTTTTAAAAAAATCTATGTTGCTCAGAACTTAGTGGGCCTTACAATTCCTTTTCATTTCTAAGACATTTTCTTCTATTATTTCTTCAATAATTTTCTTTCCTCCATATTCTCATTCTCCCCTCCCCATTTGAATCTTTCAATTAGCTTAATGCTGTACTTATTGAATTGAGCCTTTAAAGTTCTAATCTTTTCATTCTTATTTTTCATATCTATCTTTTTTATTGTTTTATGTTTCAGTAAACTCACTCAACTTTATATTACAAACTTTTTGGTATTCATACCTTTAATTTCTAAAACCTCCTTATTATTCTTTAAAATATTATTTTCTTGGTGTCTTTCCTTTGCTTTATGAATGCACCGGTTTTTATATATCTCTAAGTAAGGAGCTCTGATAGCGTAGTGGTTACAAATTGGGCTGTGAACCACAAGGTCAGTGGTTCGAAACTACCAGCTGCGCCGAGGGAGAAAGAGGAGGCGTCCTGCTCCTGTAAAGATTAACAGTCTCGGAAACCCTGTGCAGGGTCGCTATGAGTCGGAACCGACTCCACGGCACGTAACAACAACAAAGTATGTGGTGCTGTGGGTTAATGCGCCAGACTGCAAAGCCATTTGAACTTCAAGGTTGGCGGTTCAAGCTCACCAGCTGCTCCTCGGAAACCCTATACAGGATCTCTATGGGTTGGAACCGACTCGACGGCACTTAACAACAACAAGTATATATAAGAGTGTTGTTTGTCTGTTTCAAATTCTCATCTTTCTTCTGCATTATTTTTATTTATTTAGGGGTCAGTTCTGGTTGTTTATCTCAGATTCTTTCTTTCAAACTACTGTTTTATCCTCATGTGTTTGAAGATAATTGCTTGTGCATATTAAGGAATAAAGAACAAGATCAATTATTCTAGGTAACTGGAGAATGCTTCCTCTGAATAAAAAGAATGACAAGAAGCTCCGCATTGCTTCCCAGACTCTGAAGATGATGAGCAGTTGAAGAGCTTGAAGTCTGCTCATCATCTTCAGAGTCTGGGAAGCAATGCCTACATATGTGGAGCTTCTTGTCATCCTTTTCATTCAGAGAAAGCAAGGTGTCTGGAGAAAACTATCCAAGGTTGAATGTTGGGATCCCAGAACACTACCTATTCTGGCAATTTGTTAATTTTCTTTTAGAGAAGAAACTTCCCGTCCCTATCCACCTAGGATTACTACTGTGCTACCTTTTGCTATCCTGGCAGGGTCTATTTTTATACTAACCTGGCTGTTCTATAGACAGACTTTTGATTAACTCTTATTTACAGCTCCCATTCTCATTCCTACATTTCTTCCCTATTGCTCTAAATTTGGACTGCAACTTCCTCCTGTATCTATTCTAGGATGCAGCTTCTTCAGCTTTGTTCCATATGCGTCTTTCTGTCTTCCAGAAATTTGTTGAAATCGCAAATCAGTTGGCAATCTCCTCTCATTTTTTCACTGCTATGCATTTAATCTATTGTAATTTTCAAGGAGTGAGGGAAGACAGAGATGCATGTGCTCAGTCTCTGATCTTGAACCAGATGTTCCTTTCTTTTATTCAATGTCTATCTTTCCTCCTGAATGCTCTCTAATCAAATATCTATATCAAATTGATACATTTTGGTTTACAAAACACATTTAAATGCATTTTTATTTACCTATCAGAAGGTGGAATACAAGTTTGCTTCTGCAATAATGAAATGACATACTATGTGTGACTGTATCTAGTAAACTACCTGGTACAGAATAGTTGCTCAATAAAAATTATTTCTCTTTGTCTCAGTGGTTCAATTCAAACACATAGTGACTATGCAGGACAAAGTAGAACTGCTCCATAGGTTTTCCTTGGGGGCAATCTCTATGGCGGTAGACCACTTGGTCTTTTCTCTCTTGGAGCATCTGGTGGGCTCAACTCACTGACTTTTTGGTTCGCACTCAGGCAACTGACTTGAATAACAAATTTATTTCCTCAGTTTTAAGGCCAAATCAGAGTCTAAGCCATGATGATTACTTCTTTGTTGGTAACCCCAGACATTCCTGTTTTCTTGGTGATCCTCCCATAACATCTTTATTCATCAATATGTGTTCCCATCTTGGTCTAATCTGCTTTTTATATAGAACTCAGAAGTGATTACGTTTAGGTCATACACTGGTAGTGGTGGTGGTTGTGTGCCGTGGGGTCATTCCAACTTATAGTGACCCCTGTAAAGGATTTCCAAGGCTGCAAATATTTATGGAGGCAGAAATCCTCCTCTTTATCCTGAGGAATGGCTGGTAGTTTCGAACTGCTGACCTTGAGGTTAGCAGCCCAACTTATAACCACTATGCAACCAGAGCTGGTCTTATTAACATAACAAGAAAACACTATTTCCAAACAGGATTACATCTACAGCTATAGAAGTTAGGATTCCATCACATATTTTAGGTAGATTAAGTTAAATACATAATACGCTTTCATTATTTTGTTTTCAGAAGATAGAATTCAGAGACATTTTTATAATGTTATTATAAAGAGATATTTGGGTATATGTTTTGTGAAGGAGAGATGGAAAAAAATCCACTTCTAGTCTATCTGTTGGAGTCCTGGTATGGCATGGTGGGTTAATAGACTGGACTGCAAGGTCGTTTGAACCACAAAGTTGGTGGTTCAAGGTCACCAGTTGCTCCTCGGAAAACCCTATACAGGGTCACTATGAGTTGGAACTGACTTGACAGCACTTAACAACAACAGTCTAGCTGTGAATAGAAGTAAGAATTAGTGAGAAAATTCTCAATAATATTTTAAGATCAAAGAGAAAACTCATTGTGAAATTGATGGAATTCTTTCCTACTATAGGAAGCACTATTAAACTTTTTCTTATACTATAAAGTTCGTTCTGTTGTGCATAGGGTCGCTATGAGTCGGTACTGATTTAATGGCACCTAACAACAACAACAACAAATACAGTGACAAACTATAGGTTTAGTAAGCTAAAGGGTTAGTCCATGGTAGAAGTGCCACATGATTGTAATTTATAAATGATCCTTGAAGACCAAAGGAGCTAAGAAGTTTTCCCAAGATCACAGCAAAAATTTATGGGCTCCTAGGAGGAAATTCAATGCCTAAGAAGATTGAGCTTGTCATATTAATATTAATAAGTGCCAATAATATTTCATTTTCAGTGAAACTGTATGCTTTGACAAGCCAAGTTATCAACGGTGAGATGCAGTTCTATGCCAGAGCTAAACATTTCTATCAAGAAGTACCAGCCACAGAAGAGGGTATGATGGGAAATTTCATTGAACTCTCCAACCCAGATGTGCAGGCCTCTCAGGAATTTCTTAGGAAATTTGTTGGGGTAAGTTTTCCAATTGCAGTTTGAGGAGCAGACAAAGTCCTCACAAACGTAAGAGTTCACATATTTCTGTGTCATTTCCATTTAAGTCAGGTTAAAGTCATATGATTCAGCTGAGAGTGTAGCCTAAAGACCTGCTTTAAGAGATTTAGAAATGATAGGCCACTGTTGATTTATCCTACTTTGCATGGCACTGTGGGTTAATGCGCTGGACTGCAAAGTCAGTTTGAACCTCAAAGTCAGCAGTTCAAGCTCACCATCTATGGCACTTGATGACACTTAACAATAACCACCAACTAATCTTATACTCAATATTGCTGTTAAGTGGTGTAGAGTCGATTCCAACTCACAGTGGCCCTATATAAGATGTGGCTAGTGGGTTTGAATGGTCAACCTTACAGTTAGCAGAGCACTGCTTATCCTATCGTGCCATACCAGGGCCCCTCACACTCAGTAGCAATACTGATATTATACTTTGAGGACCAAGAACCTATTTCTTTTATCATCTCACAGATGAACAGTTGACACCCAGATGATTGATGAAAGATCATGCTATTTCTGATCTTGGGGTAATTTACCGATACTCTCATACAAGTGCTATCCAGGTTCTACCCTGCTTAGCCTTCTTGATCAGAGGAGATGGGACACATTCAGGATGGTATAACTGTGACTAATTTTTTGATTCTCTGCAAGGAAATTTAGTGTAATGAGGAAATGCATACTTATGTTCAGTTTAAAAATAAGTAGACAAAGATCACTTTCTATATCTTGTACATAATTCAGAATTTGGCCTGCTGTAAAAAGTATTTAAGAAGAATACGATTCCCCTGTAGTTGGGAGAACTCCTACTTTTTTACTTCCATGCCATATAGACAATGAATTTATGGTGTAGGATACAAAACCTTGCATTCTAGAGTTCCTTCACTTAATGAGAGTAACCTTGTTGAGGTTACTCATTTCCCCTACAGAGTAGGCTCTATTGTTATTTCTGAGAAAACAGGCTTAGAGCCCAACAAAACAGCCCACTTCATAGGATAACCTGAGGATGGAACAAGATAATACGTGTCAAGTGCTTGCATTAGTGCACTTAAATGCCCTCCAAATTTAATTTAGCGCTCCCCGTGTGGCGCTGTAGGATAATCACTGGACTGTTAACCACAAGGCTGGCAATTCAAACTCAGTAGCCACTCCTCAGGAGAAAGATGAGGCTTTCTAGGTCCGTAAAGATTTACAGCCTTGGAAACCCTATACAGGGTTGTTATGAATTGGAACTGACTCAAAGGCACTTAACAACAACAATAGTAATAGCAGACTTTCTTATAATGTGCACATTATGTGAAATTTGAGGCACTTTGATGTCAAAGTAGCCTTAACACACACAATAAAGCTGGTCTTAGGAATACTGGTGTGGTGCTGGGGTTAATGTGCTGGACTGCAAAGTCAGTTTGAACCACAAGATTGGTGGTTCAAGCTCACCAGTCGCTCCTTGAAAACCCTGTACAGGGTCACTATGGGTCAGAACTGACTCGTCGGCACTTAACAACCACAAATCCTACTGTCGATAAAAAGTCCTAATTGGCAAACAGATTTTGTTCCAATTCATTTGTTTGTAATTTAGATCCCATTTTAATCTGAAAAAGGTTACTTAATTTGGAAAAAAATATTAGGCTTTTGGGCTACACTGACAATTTACATACTGCTGCTGCTGCTGCTATATGCTGTATGCCACTTCCAACTTATAGTGACCCTGTATAGGGTTTCTGAGTCTGTTAATCTTCATGGAACAAAAAGCCTCATCATTCTCCCTCAGAGCAGCTGATGGATTTGAACAGCTGACCTAGAGGTTAAGCAGTTCAATGTATAACCCACTACACTACCAGGATTCCTCAGCAACCTACTTAGAAGCACAATATTAAGAATAGACCTGGCATGAACTGAGGTCCACTTCACATCCAACTTTCCTGGTATGTCATGTGCCTCTGGATTGAGAACCTGGCGGTAGAGAAGATGGAACAGAAGTGTCTGGACTTCAGCTGTAGCTGTAAAGGAGTCTGGAGTCTGATGATGATGATAATGGTGTTTGAATGTACAGATCAAGTTGACCTCACCTTTTTCTAAATCGGTGTTACTGACTCAATTCACTGAGTGCTTATTCTGAAATGACCAGTCACCTTGTGAAACATTTCAGAAACATTTGTCTTGTTTACTCTTCACAATGATTCTAGGTGGTAAGTACAATTATTAGTCTTGTTTTAACTGTTGTGGAAACTGAGGCTTGAAGATAAATAAGTTGTCAAGGTCACACAGGTGGTAAAAGAAGTGAGACATAGGCCTAGGCAATTCTGTCTGACACCAAACTCCCTGCTCTTAACTACGATTGATTTTTTTCCATTTGTCTCATGTAGTAGAAATATCCTTGCCTTTTTCTTTGGATGGACCATAGACTCAACTCTCCTGTAGTCTGGCCCAAAGCATTCCCTCCTGTTTGCTTCGTGGTGAGGCTGACTTTGATCCTGTAGTATTTTAGAAGCTTAGTTAGTAATCCAGCTGTCTTGTCACTCCTTGTGGAATGCCAAGCTGACCACAGGGATGCTGGTCAGACAGAGCCCCTACAGACCTGGGAAAGGAAACAGCCTTGTGCCTTCATATTTACATTGGAAAAGTAGCAGCATGGTCTTTTCAAACAAATATAAGGTGTCTTTTTTAGTAGACAAGGTTTATTGTGAAGTGGTGGCCTCTAATTAAATCCACAGTCTTATTTTTTAAGGAATGATATTTTGGTCATTTGACCTTAATAGCCTGTTAAATTAGTATCCATATCAAGATACAAGGAGTTAGGGAATATGACTATCCGATATGAATTATTCTTATGTCAACTGTGAAAAGACAGATTGTTTTATTTAAACTTCTTTTTTTCTTTCAACATGTAGTGACATGGGACATTGGAAAAAGGTGCTTAAACTCGTTGGAAATGTGTTTACTTTAGCAAAGAAGCAAATGGTACCAAGATGATGTGAATGACATAGCTGATAACTTTTCGATTATGGTCCTGGCGTAGCATTGTAGGATAAACACTGGACTGCAAGATCAATTTGAACTGCAAGATTGGTGGTTCAAATCCACCAGTCACTCCTTGGAAACCCTATGCAGGTTTGCTATGAATCAGAACCAACTCAACAGCACTAAATGACAACAAGAAGTGGGTGAAAGTAAGTTCCTGAGTGATACAGTTAAGCACTCCAGTAACAACTGAAAGTTGGTGGTTCAAACTCATCCAGAGGTACATTTGAAGACAGACCTGGTGATCTGCTTCTGAACGATCACAGCCTTGAAAACCTAATGAAGCAGTTGTACTCTGCACACATGGGATCACCATGAGTCAGAATTGACTTGACGGCAACAGTGGAGTAAAGTAGCAACTTATAAAAAGCAATCAGTATTTGATGGTATTTAATGTTTGACATTTCTCAGAGACAAGATGACTAAACCATCTGGGTCTAACTTGTTACATTTCATGATTTTCATATGGTGTCATGAAGCACTTTAATGCTGTTTTTCAACTCTGCTGGATGAACTTTAAATAAAAAATATCCCCTGAAGTTTTCTTAAAACCCAACAACAGATTAACTAGAAGAAATGTCTGCCTCCACCATTATGCTCTTTTAAGCACTGTCCACATAGTATCAAATTGTTAGCAGCAACTTGAAAGATTAGATAGGAAGTTTAGGAGCAGGAACAACTCAGAAAGGGGAGGTGAGAATGGTTATACAACTTAATGTATCTGTCACTCAACAGCACATAGAGAAATTGCTGACCTACTGTATGCTTTGTTGTGTTTATCCACAACACCAAAATAAAAATTTGAAAAAAGTTTAGAAAAGAAGTTAAAAAAAAAAAAAAAAAGAAAGAAAGCCTTATGTAGCACAGTTCTACTCTGACGCATGGTAATTATGACTTAGAGTTGTCTCAACAGAACTTGTAAAAAGTAAAATTGTAAGAAAAATTTTCAGTGAAAATTTCTAATTGAACACATATTTTAGCAGTCATTTCTAGTAACTCAGAATAATTTCCCTGTATTTTACTCCAATCCTAGAATATGCTTAAAAAAAAAAAAATTTTTTTTTTTAACAGATGTTTCCACAGAACTCTTTAGCCTAGGCCTTTTTCTGAATGAGCTTAGTTTAAATTATGCATTTGAATGAGGATAGCAGCATAGTATAAATAGTAATGGCATTGTACTATCACTTTCCCTTCCCATACCTAAGGAAGACATCATTCATCAATAACAGATTTCTTTTCTGTTGAGTCAGAATGAAGACTTGGAATCCTTTCAACATAGCAATATACTACCAGTGTGTACAGTATTGGCATAGCTCTATAGGATAAGCAGTGGACTAGCTGTTCCGCAGGAGAAAGATGAGGTTTTCTGCTCCCGTAAAGATTTACAGCCTCAGAAACCCTGTACAGGGTCACTATGAGTCGGAACCGACTCCATGGTACATAACCACCACAGGTGATGTTCCTAATGTTGACTTGACTTCAGATTTAAATATAAATTAAATATAAATATATTTAAACATAAATTCCAACACCACCACTCTCCACAAGGCTGGCAGTTCAATCCCACTAGTTGTTCCTCGGAAACGCTATACAGGGCTGCTGAGTTGGAACCGACTCGACTGCACTTAACAACCACAGGTGATGTTCCTAATGTTGACTTGATTTTGGATTCAACTAGTTCTGTATTCAAATCCTAGTTAACTGTGATATTGGAAACCTGTCTCCTTATTTCCAAGATAGGGTTAATATTCAATGTCTTGTAGAGTTGTTTTGATAATTATAGTTGTTATAGTTGTAAACACCTTGACACAAATAAGCATTCAGTAAATCATGATGATTATTACTATTCTGCTTGAAAAGAAGCTACAATTGCTTCACTTTTTATTTTATTTATTTGTTTTTTAACCTTTCTAGTTGTAAGGAAGTCCCTTTAGGTGGACTGGAAAGCATCTTTTCTGATGCTTCCCTCAGCTCATACTTCACCTTTAATCTTTAGCCAAATGTTTTTTTAATCCTTATTTCCTTAGAAATCAAGAGTAGGCTTTCTCCGTAAGTCCTTGATTGGCAACTTCAAGTATCTTGTTACTGTAATTTCTAGCAAGAAACCTATTCACCAGCCATCCCAATTATGACCAAATAATTTAGAACAGCTGAATCTTCATAAATCAGAAAATATTTCCTTTTACTTTATAGAAGCAAGTTTGTGTTGGCTGGTTTATCTCCTGTTCCACTCCAAGCCCCCACCCCTATTAATGCAATACACAGACTTACTTTTAAAATAGCAGTTTTTAAGGGTTTCATGCATAGTAAATCATGTAGTTCTTCTGGTACAAAAGCAAAAACAGAATTTTAGCATGAAAGGAGGAGTTTTCTAGAATCACCCTATCCACTCTGAAAGTGCCTTGTGCCAACTGAAATAAAATCTTGGCCTAAGAATCGGGTATTTAGCATTCTCTTAGCTCGGGAGCTCTGATAGCATAGTGGCTATGAATCGGGCTGCTAATCTCACGGTCAGCAGTTCAAAACTACCAGCTGTTTGGGGGAGAAAGATGAGGCTTTCTGCTCCCTTAAAGAGGTACATAACAACGAGAGAAGTAGGCTATTCAGAGTGTCTAAAATCTGATTTTGAAGAAATGAAATTTCAGTCATCTAATAATGGTGTGGCGCTGTGGGTTAATGCTTCAGACTGCAAAGTCATTTGAACTGCAAGGTCGGCGGTTCAAGCTCACCAGTGGCTCCTCGGAAACCCTATTACAGGGTCGCTATGGGTCGGAAGTTCGAAACTACCAGCTGTTCCGCGGGAGAAGGATGAGGCGTTCTGCTCCCGTAAAGATTTGCAGCCTCGGAAACCCTGTGCAGGGTCACTATGAGTCGGAACCGACTCCACGGTACTTAACAACAACAACAACAACATGGGTCGGAATTGATTGACAGCACTTAACAACAAAAACAGTATGAGTAGCATAGTGGTTACTAGTAGGGCTACTAACCTCAAGGTCAGCAGTTCGAAACTACCAGCAGTTCCATGGGAGAAAGATGAGGCTTTCTGCTCCTGTAAAGATTTACAACCTGGGAAACCCTATACAGGGTTGCTATGAGTCGGAACTGACTGCAACACACACCACCATCAATATGAGTTGACTCGAAGGCACTAAACAACAACATCAACAATATGAGTAAAAGCTGCTCTGGTAGCGTCTGCTAAGCACAAAGTCAGCCATTCGAATCCACCAGCTGCTATACGGGAGAAGGATGAGGCTGTCTACTCCAGTAAAGATTTACAGCCTTGGAAATCCTATACAAGGTCGCTATGAGTTGCAACCGACTGGACAGCCCGCAGCAGCAGCAATATGAGTTGAGGACCCCTGGTGTGGCCTTGTAGAATAAGCACAGGACGGCTAATCACAAGGTTGGTGGTTCAGACCTACCACTCATTCCTTGGAAACCTTAGAATTGCTATAAGACGGGACCGACTCGACTGCACTTAAAACAGTATGGCTTGAAAGATTTCCAATGAATGCATTTTTGAAGTAATTTTAAAACTCAGTAATGCCATTACTCTTTTCTTCCAGACTTATAACTTAGAGAGTCACTATATTTAGCTATGTGTTCCACCCAAATTCATAACCACAAAGTTCTATATTTATAAGGTTATTTATTGACTTTTTTTTTAAGTGGGAGATAACTACTAAGCTTTCAAATCTAAAGTTATTACTTTTAAAAATTGTAATTTTAAAGAATGATTTGTATTTAGAGAAAATAATGTAAAACTGGAAAACAAGTGGAGATTTTGAAAAAGGTTAATTGCATCCTTTTTCTCTTGGTGGTAGCAGTGATAACATGGGTGCTCAGATTTTGCATTTTACATTTACTATTTCATTGTATGAAAGGAGCTCTGGTAGCGTAGTGGTTACGAATCGGGCTGCGAACCGCAAGGTCAGCAGTTCGAAACTACCAGCTGTTTCGCGGGAGAAAGATGAGGCTTTCTGTTCCCGTAAAAATTTACAACCTTGGAAACCCTGTATAGGGTCGCTATATAGGTCGGAACCGACTCCATGTCACACAGCCATTTCATTGTATGAGAATTGACCTCAATAAAGTTGGTTTTAAAATGTTATTTATAGTAGTCAAGACGCAGGTTGGGGTATCTGGTATTTTCCTGCAGGGCCCCGGGAAAGCTCGGATGGACTCGGCCTTGGATTGCGGCTCTGGGATTGGACGGGTCAGCAAGCATGTCTTGTTACCAGTTTTCAACAGCGTGGAACTGGTGGACATGATGGAATCTTTCCTTCTTGAAGCCCAGAAGTACTTGCAGGTCAAAGGGGGTAAAGTGGAAAGTTACCACTGCTACAGCCTGCAGGAATTCACACCCCGCTTTGGAAGATATGATGTCATCTGGATTCAGTGGGTCTCTGGTTAGTCCTGCTTGGCCTTGCACCTGTCTGTCTTCTTTCCCAGATAGAAAACACAAAGTTGAAGATTTCAGGAATGCAGAGAGAGACCAGAAAGGGAGCTTTAGCTGCAGTGATGCTTAGAGTAGCTACACTCTCAAAAAGCAAAATCCAAACTCATCACCGTGGAGTCGATTCTGAATCACAGAGACCCCATATGTGATTTCTGAAGTCCTGGTGTGGATCTGTGGGTTAATGTTCTGGAATGCAAAGTTGGTTAGAACCACAAGGTCACAGTTCAAGCTCACCAGCCGATCCTCGGAAACTCTATACATGGTCCCTATGGGTCGGAACCGACTCGACAGCACTTAACAACAACAACAAATGTGGTTTCTGAGGCTGTAAATCTTCAACCTTTCTCTTGCAATATTGTGTAAATTCTCAAAACTCTCATCCTCCATATTCTTTCCCTAACATGCTCTGTACAAATGGGGCAATTTCTCCCTTAGAGAGGTAATGGTGACTTAAAAACAGTTAAAATCCTAGATAAAAACTAAATTCTTGAAAAACTTTCAAGAAGGGGCCAAAAAATGTCAATCCCCAGGAAATGAGACAATAGTGAATTAGATATTGGTCTCAGATATCGGTGTGTGTAGTGTGTGTGTGTGTGTGTGTGTGTGTGTGTGTAGAAGACAAAGAGGGGTGATGTTTTCTGGGGTCATGGATTTGACATCCTGTGGGATGGGCAATAATTTAATCTCATGTCCATGAAGTAGATAGTCCAGATAGTATTTTACAGCCAGGAGATGGAGACCCCTTAAAGAAGGTAATTATCGTCTTATCTAAATTATGAGAGTGTGCTGGAACTAAAACAATTCAGGAAAGAGAAAATGAATAGTCTGCAGGTTCTTCCTGATTCTTACCTCCCTGTCTATCCACGATTTCACTCTGTCCCTCCATCTACTTGACCTACATGTAGGGTACCTGACTGATAAAGACCTTCTTGCATTTCTTTCCCGGTGCCGAGATGGCTTGAAAGAAAATGGCGTCATCATACTGAAGGACAATGTGGCACGGGAGGGCTGTGTCTTCGATCTCTCAGACAGCAGCGTGACACGGGACATGGACATCCTCCAGAGCCTCATTAAGAAGAGCGGGCTGGTGGTGCTGGGCCAGGAGAAGCAGGAGGGTTTTCCAGAGCACTGTATCCCGGTGTGGATGTTTGCTCTGCACAGTGCTGGACACTCTTGACCAGCACTGGGAATAACCTGCCACTCCTTGTAATTGTAAGAGGGATGAGAGATAAGATGCAATGCATGCCTGAGAATAACTGATGGTGAAGTATATACAAATTTTCACTAATGATTTAAGTACATGCATACTGGATTTTCTGAAGGAATAGGAGCTGGAAACATCAGATAAAGAATGCTTTAAGTACTTGAATACACCTAAACTGCCTTGGTTCTTGAAGATTTGCATTATATAGTGGTCCAGGATGGGTAGGGGAGGTCTAGATCTCTTTCCCTGCTCTCACATTGGTTACCTTTGGGACAACCACTTCTCTTGGATAAAAATAAACCCTTAACTAAGTGGTCATTAGCCTAAATAATCTTACAAAAACAAGTTTATTACTTAATTTTTTGTCTTAAGTCTTTCTCTTGGAGGAAAAAGTAGATGATTTCACTTTCTATTTTGGGTCAGTTTCATTACCCAATGATGTAATGTGGATGTCATTTGATAATAGAAGTCTGCATTTCAGTGATGGGGAAGTGTCTCCTTCAGAAGAAAATGCTGTACCCCTGAAATTTCAGTCTTGAATATACAAGTAAATGTCAACAATAATCTCATTTTAGTTATTGGTTTCCAATACTGCTTGCTTTGTTCCTGTTTCCTTGATCAATATGAGTATATAGTAGGAAGAAAAGTAGCAAAGGAAATGGTAAACCTTAAAATTGAATTTGCTGGATTAAGTTATGACATTGGTTTAATTAAAAATAATATCTTTTAAAGACAAAAATGTGATTCAATTGTTACTATCAACATGTTTAAATATGACTGCAATTGTCTTTAAAACATTCCAATATCTTCATGTTTAGGAACATATGTGTATTTGGATATGTATATTGAGTCTTCTATGCAATGCAAAGCATCAATTGTAGTAAAGAAGGTCTATACTATGGAAACACTATTACCAGAAAACTCAAATTTTCAAGTCATAACTAATTCAGGAGGAGAACAATTATGAAACACTGTAGCATAACTTAGGGGTTTCATTTATTGTTGTTGTCAGGTGCCATCGAGTCGGAACCGACTCATAGCGACCCCATGCACAGCAGAATGAAACAATGTCCGATCCTGGGCCAACTTCACTTCTGCTGCCACACTTGAGTCCATTAATGCTGTCACCTGGCCAATCCATCTCGTTAGGGGGTCTTCCTCTTTTTCTCTGACCCTCCATTTTACTAAGCATGATATCCTTCTCCAGCGACTGTTTCCTCCTGACAATATGTCCAAAGTATGAGAGATGAAATTTAGCCATCTTGGCCTCAAAGGAGCACTCTGGCTGCACTTCTTCCAAAACAGATCTATTGGTTCTTTTGGCAGCCCATGGCACTTTTAGTATTCTCCTCCAATACCATAACTCAAAAGCATCAATTCTTCTACGATCTTCCTTATTCACTGTCCAGCTTTCGCATCCATATGAGGTTATTGAAAATACCATGGCTTGGGTCAGGTGCACCTTAGTCCTCAAGCTGACATCTTTGCTCTTCAACACTTTAAAAAGTTCCTGTGCAGCAGATTTGCCCTATGCAATATGTCATCTGATCTCTTGACTACTGCTTCCACGAGTGTTGATAGTTGATCCAAGAAGAATTTTCTAGCACACATTTAGTGTGCTGGAAAATTACACTCAGTACACCATACCCCTGCCACCTTCTAATGCCATATGTTACTGACCATCCTCTAAAGCATTAGAAGTAGCCCTGGTGGTACAGTGGTTAAAGCATTTGACTGCTAACTAAAATGTGGTTTGAAACCACTAACTCCTTGGGCAGTCTGTTTCTGTAAAGATTTAGAGGTTTTATGGGGTAGTTCTACTGTCTCTTACAAAGTTACTAGGAATTACAATTAACTTGATGCCATTAAGTTAATCGTAATTCATAGGCTAGCATAGCAGAATGTGGTTACATCCATTAGCAAGCAAGCCAGAAACTAAAATTTAAATCAAATGGTGAAAAGACTAAATATGGCAAAACAAGCACACAAGGGTAAGTTAAAAACAGTGATACAAAGGTGATAGAAAATTTTATTAAACAAAAATATCAAAATGTGAAGGTAATGTTTCTCAACATTTCCTTCATCTAGGTCTATGCACTTCTAACAGTGATGTTTTCCTCCCTCTAAACATTCCTCAATGAATTCACTGTTCTTTGATTTATACTATGTCAAAATGGCAAGTTTGGACATCTCTAAGGGATGCAAAGTATATCTCTTTTAAATGTGCTATTAATTTTGGGAACAAAAGGAAATCTGAAGGGACAAGATCAGTGCTGTAGGGTGAATGGGATAAGGTTTTCCAATGAAATTTTTGTAGGACGGCTTTGAAGAATAAGCAAGGTGCATTGTCATGATGGAGGAAAAAAAATTCTTTGGTATAACTTTCCTGTCCTTTTTCTCACCAATGGAGTTTTCATCTTTCTTAAACGCTCTTCATAAGCCCCCATAACTATCCTTTGAGAAAAATCTATCAAGATTACCTCTTTGGAATCTCCAAAATCAGTCACCACAACCTTCTGAGCAGACCTCTCTATAGGATTTAACTAGTCCAGCAGATCCCCTTGAAGTCAGTGTTTTGATTAGAACTTTGTTTTTGAAGACGCCCCAATGAGAGTAAGACAAGGGCATTACTGAACTAACTGTCTGCAGTCAGCCACTGATTACAGAGACATAAACACTTAAACATGTTTTGCTTGGAATAAACCTGTGCTACTAGGGAGTCCTGGTGTGGTGCTGTGGGCTAATGTGTCAGACTGCAAAGCCTTTTGAACTGCAAGGTCAGTGGTTCAAGCTTACCAGCTTCTCCTTGGAAACCCTATACAGGGTCGCTATGGGTCGGGATCGACTCGACGTCATTTAACAACAACAACTAGGAGTCCTGGTGTGGCGCTGTGGGTTAATACGCCAGACAGCTGTTTGAACTGCAAGGTTGGCGGTTCATGCTCCGAAACCCTATGCAGGGCCGCTATGGGTCAGAACTGACTCTACGGCTTTTAACAACAACAACTAGAAGCCTGGTGTAGTGCTGTAGGTTCAGCACTGGACTTCGAACCACACACTCTGTGGTTCAATCCCGTCAGCTGCTCCTCAGAAACTGTACAGGGTTGCTGTGAGGTGGAATCGACTTGACTCAATGGCACTTCACAACAACTACTGGAAGCCTACTAGGCAATACTTTTTGACTTACCCTTATATCTGTGAATCACTTGGTGTAAATTGATAGAATCTCTTTAGGCTTATTCCAGGATTTTTCTCTCCTATACCAATACCTTTTATTTTCTTACCGCTTGACTTTCTGCTGTACCAATATCCAGACACTGATTTAGACAATTTTCTCTCCTGGGTTTATCAGCTTGTAGAGGAAATAACATATGTTTCCTATGGATATAAATATGACCTTTAACTCAGTTGAGTCTTTGAGGTTGATCAACAGCCCCTTTCCTCTTTCTAAGTGAAGTTATGTGCCATTCACCTTAAACATTTTTTATTGCTCCAACCACTCTTCCACTTCCTCATCTATCTTTAATTTAAGAAAACAGAGGTTAGAGATACTTGTATGAGCCCTCATACCTTCACTCCCCAAATTCCCTGTTGTTAACAAGTATTGCCACTTTGTGCCCTTGAATCAGTTCCGACTTATAATGACCCTCGATAGGGTTCCCCAGACTGTAAATCTTTGTTGTTGTTGTTGTTATGTGCTGTGCAGTCGGTTCCGACTCATAGTGACGCTACCCGAAGCTGTAAATCTTTAGGGGAGCAGAAAGCCTCATCTTTCTCCTGTGGAGTGGCTTGTGGATTCCAACTGCCTACCTTGCAAATAGCATCCCCAATGAGTAACCACAACACTACCAAGCCTCCTTAATAACAGTGAGTACAAGGTAAATTAATAAATTAAGGGCTCATTAATAATAATGGGTATAAGGTAAAGGAAAAAGTAGCTTTAGAAGCAATCAGCTATCAGAGCCGGATTATGCAGCCTAATAGATTGTTATGGTTTGAACTTGTTTTTCAAAGAACAAGGAGGTTGTTCTTAAAGGGTGCAAGTGGAAGACAGACTTCTTGTCCTGGGAGTGAAGCCATATATACTGTGGAATGAAGGCATTCTGGGTGAGGCTTATGCCTGTCATCCTGAGCCGAATTCTGTAAGCCTGATGTTTATCAGCACATCCAGAAGCTTGTGGGGGTAAACAACTGCCTACATTAATTCCCAAATACTGATTCATAGCCCTACTGCCTCTTAATCACTTAGGGGAACTTTTACAAAATACAAAAACCTCAGGTTCCATCCCCACTGATCAGTTCATTTATATTTTCCAAAACATTTGGAACTGATTTTGATCTCTTGTTTTATTTGAGAATAACTGAAGGGGAAAAGGTGTGGAGTTATACCCTCAGAGCCACAGAAGGACCAGCCTCAGAGAAATAGCTAAATGGTTAAATTCAATTCACACCAATGACAGCCTCTCTAAAACATAAATCTGACTGTACAAACCTTAAATGGCTCCCCATCACCTACAAGACAAATTCCACTCTCTTCAGCAGTGCATGTATAGTCTAGCCCTGGCTTCATTCACCAGCCTTATTTTTATTGCATACCCTAAAGTTACACTTAAATATTTGTAGTTGCCTAATGAAGTCATGATTTGTGATACAGGGTATTGATAAATGTTACTTCCTCAGCCTGGAACATCTTTCATTCTTTTTCATCTGGCCCACATAGTTAAATATCACTGACTCCAAGGAAGCTTCCCTTGATGCTGGTGTTGGGCTAAGTATCTTCACTATGTGCTACCCTATATCCTCTACTTAACATACTATAACCCTTCTCCCATGGCATTGCAGCCCTGGGGGGTACAAATGGGGGGCCTAGAGGTGCCTTGGAAGAAAACCCCAGCAATCTCCTTCTAAACAACCAGGCATTGGAAACCCTATGGAGCACAGTTCTAGCTTTTTCCTCACTAATGTGACACACATGGGGTCACTGTGAGTTG